TAATATCCATATAATGTTAGATGTAAGAGTCCTAAAGTTTATTGAGATAATTAGACAACTGTTTCTACTCAGGTGTCTTAATTAAAAAATTACAATCAAGCCCTTAAGGTTCAGTTTCTAACAATTATCAAAAGGGGGAAAAAAAGTGTTTATAAAAATCCCAAGGAAGAACTCATGTCAGTGTCTTCCCTAAATCTGTCTTGCTGTCCATGTTAGACTCCAGCTCTTTCTGAATTACCTTTCTCACTTTATGTTTTATAATATCACACACCCAAGGTGTCATATTTCTCAATGGGCCTACGTAGGTACCCCACCAGGCTTAAGTCAAATGTACAGCTTGGCTTAAGCCTGTACATTACATGGTGCTTAGTATTTTTGTAATTTTTGGCCGTAATCAGAGTGGAAGTATTGACAATTAAATGCATAAACCAAACTCACAGCTTGGAGACCAGTTTAAAACATTACACATGCAACCAAGTGACCTTCCCCTTCATGCTGTGTGTTACTGCTGACTATTGTGTGTGGGCTCTGGACCAGGGAGGCCGTGGGACCCCAACAGTGAGCAAGATGGGGGCTCCACCCCCACAGGCCGCCATCTAGGAAGAGAGCACACTTAGCCACGCCATCCTCATGTAGTGAGGAAGCTGTTGCAAACGGGAGTGCAGCCTGATGTCTGATACATGGAGTGGGCCCCTCCCCTAGGACAAGGGAGGCCAGAAAAGGCCCGTGAGCATTCCTACTCTGCCTAGAACTCAAGGATGGAAAATAACCAGCCAGGCAGGCAGGCAGGAGCTAGGGTTCCCAGCGGAGGAGGTGGGAGAAGAGCTCCGCGTGCTCCAAGAACTGGAACACGTTGACCCCTGAATGCCGAGGAAGTCTGGAATGACCTCCGGAGGTGATGGGCCTGGAGAGAAAGCACCAGCATGGCTTATCTCGCACAATGCATCGTTCTATAAGCGCGCCCATAAATGAGCATTTAGGAAGCATCAAAAACATGAGCCGACGAAGCGTGGGAGTGATTTCACAGCATGCTGCTTTTTCATATTAGCGTGCGTCCCTTTTTCCTGGACCGTATTAACCCATTTGTTGATGTTTCTTAATAAATGCACACGGATTCCCGTTATTCCCATCTCCATGGAAGTATGTGGAAATTGGGCAGAGGCTGGGGAGACCTGGCTGGTGCCTTCCCTTTGGCGGTGTGGTTGGAAGAGAGGAGTGAACCTGTCCCCAAAGCTGCCTCATTTGGGGGCACAGAGGTCACTGGGGGGACATGGGTTGCAGAGGAGTGAGGCATTGACCCATCTCCCTCTCCCGTCTCATAGTAGGTCATTGTCAAGACATGTCCCTCTGTTCCAAACCAGGGCTAAGGGACCAGGAGCTCAGAGCCCCCTGAGGGCGTGTGGGGCTCCCTGGACCAGTGGGACCGGGATCACGGAGCCCTCAACGTGGTTCTCTTCTTTCTCGTTCTGAGTCCTTCTGCTGTGCCCTTTCTCTGTTATCCTGCCCGCTCTTCCATGTCCCATAACCCCACACAACCCTCAGTATCCTAGGATTACCCAGGGGCATCTCCCTATGAAAAACCGCAGAGAACGCTGTATTTTCAAAGACATTACAAATCACATGGTTCTTTTCTCCTAGGACTCCCAATATTGATGCATTAGCCAGAGGGGGAGTGAAACTCACTCAGCACTTGGCCGCATCACCCCTGTGCACGCCGAGCCGGGCAGCCCTCATGACAGGCCGGTACCCCATCCGATCAGGTAACCTCCTGGCTCTGTTGCCATGGCGACCCCCTTCCCCCGGGGGCAACCTCCCAGCCCCAGTCCTCATGGT